ACTTTAAACATGTTCCATTCAAGAGAAGCTAACTGGTGATTACAAACTTACACAAAGAATAAGTCCTTTTGCAGAAGAAAATCATCAGGTCCTTGTGAAATCAGTGGTCAGAGCAGCCATCGTAGTAGAATCATGAGCTTTTGCCTACAACGGGTTAGAACTTGATATGGGAAAGTCTAGGGAAGACGGGATCTTTGAAGTGCTACTGTTATAAGCTGCAAACATGATTCAATTGACCCTTTTTTTGTGTGAAGGCACCATTGAAGTGTTGTCTGTATAAAGTATAATCTATACTTGAACTGTAGGGAATTTTTGGTACCTGAAAAAAGAAAGAGAACCAGAGCGGACAATGATAAATGTTTTGCTTCCTTTGCCTCATGAATAACAGAAATATCTGATTTTTATTGAAGTTCTTTTTAGCTTACAATTTTGACGTTAGTTAAGCTACCAGAAGATAGTATTCGTAATGCAATTGCTCATTTTGCATCATTCCGTCTTCGTAAACTTGCTTTGCCTACAAAAGTCAGGTCAGATGCATCAACATTAACAGTAGAATGCTAAACTACAACCCTACATTCAGATGCCAGCCAACGACCAATGAGTTTAATTTTTATACACCGATAGTGTAAAAGAATATTTAAAGTATCAAGGCATTTAAAAAGAATTACAAGTAACAATTCACTGGGTTTATTGTTGTAGTTCATTAAATAATGGGATTATTAATCTAAAAAATAAAGTAGATTACTTGTTACAACATGTTAAAATATATTGGATAGTCACTGGAGGTGAATCTTTTCGGCTTTTGAATTTTGATTAGTTGAACCTCCTGCTCGGGGTATTATTTCGCGCCTTCCGTATGTGAGCTTCTTCAAATTGGGGTTACTGCTATTAATTGATCCTCCATAAGATGTGGTCAATGAGAATTCATTATTGGGGTCAAACATACAGGTAAAACAACAGTAGCTATTGATTGAATTTCAACCAACAAAGTCAAAATATAATATGTTTTTATGCAGTTATCGGGTAAAAGATATCTTCTACGGCCCAAGTAGCATCTACTCTACAGGAAAGAGGAAGCGATGAAATAGAATATTGTGGTAGCCGAAAGGTCTCGAATTCCTTGCTACATTTCAATATCCCGTATCATGAACGATATACTTTAATCATATATATGATCGCTCCACATAAGTACAAGCTTACGACCAAATTTTTCTTTTATATAGTGTAATAATTTTCTTTGAAAATACAATTAATTACAGTTGAAAAATAAGATGAAAAAATAAATATTCTTCAGGCTGAGGCGCGGATATTTCGCTCTTTTTAAGGAGATTCAAGCCCACTGCGGTAGCATCTTTACTGGTCCAGTAGTAATACACTTGACTTGTCCCCTGCAAGATACAACAGCCCGACAACGTCATATAACTCGAACAAACTCTGGACAAGTTGTTGAGTCCAAAGTTCCACCAAAATGAACACCTTTCTGCAACAGAAATAATATGCTATTTTGTAGAGAATAAGTTGGAGACTTAGGGTGTGTTTGGTATAACGAAAAATATTTTCTTGAAAAATAAGTAGTAATCTTATTCATTTTCCGGTGTTTGATACGCAAATAAGGAAAATGACTTCTCAAGAGTATTCATAAATAATGTAGATATAATAAACATGAAGCTATAAACTTTCAAACCAACAACCTTCCGGACCCACAAATTTCATAAACTTTTAAACCGCTAAACTTTCAAAACCGCGGAATTTCGAACTCGTAAACTTTATAATTTCTAAACCTGTAAACTTTCAAATACATAAACCTCCGAACTCATAATTTTGGAACTTGTAAATNTTGAGAAGGAGTTTTGGAAAATATTTTCCCTTCTCTTGATAAGGAAAACATTTTCCTCCAATTGAAGAAAAATGAGTTGATAAGGAAAATATTTTCCAAAACATTTAAGCCAACCAAACATGAAAAAATTGGAAAATATTTTCCGAAAAATATTTTCCTTCATAACAAACACACCCTTAGATTTCACCTTTTTCATACACACTACCATATTTTCCATACCAAACACAACAAAATTTATAAAAACTCTTCCATGAAATAAATAATAAGGTAGTGTGATAATAAAATTGTAGAACATTGTTGGTAGTTACAAAATTTAATCTTTAATCGATAATTAATAATAGATCATAACATTAGTGGTTTCATGAGTTACACCAAAGTAATGATCACTTTCTTGCCAATTTATAATCACGATTTCACAAGAAATAATACATTTTAATATAATAATTTTAATATTAAAATGCACTAACACCAACCTACACTGTCAATATAAGTAAAACGCTTCAATCAAATTGGAGGTGATAAACGAAAGGCAGCAGAGATTTTTCTTGCACCATGTTAGTCCCATGTCTCAATCTAAGATATGAGAACCTGAGTTATACATGCTTAACAAAAGCAATCTTCTAGTCACTGGATTAAAACTGCAAAAAAGTTAGCTTTACATTATGTAAACTTTAGCATAATATGCTAGAATTTGAATACAAGGTGTTCTTGAGTTTGAACTCCAGCACAATGTATTGAAAGTTTATACGCATGAATTTTATAATTCAATATATTATGCTAGATTTTTTCCGTGTTTCAGCTAAGGGGCTATTTTTTGGGCAAGTGCACAAATAATCATTCTCATGGATGTTGTTTAGAGATTTTCAGGACATTTTTATTCAAAAATTTTGTACTAGAAAACTAAAATTTAGGATGCACTGACTAATTCTTAAATAGCAGCCCTTTAGAGAGGCTATCTGGTGTCATTTTTATGGTAATTTTCAATTACTTTACAAATGTAGGCTAATTTTTAACTACCATTCCAAAAACTGGCTAGTCCATGCTATTTCAACGGGACTTTTTCACATATATACGATATTTTAAATTTATTTACCCAGTTTTGTCTAAGTTTCCTATTTACGAAAAGTAACTAAATTTTTTTATAAATTATATGCAAATTCGGTCAAAATCTACAATATATCTACATTTTAAATAATTTTTTTTTTTTTTGCATAAATTCCGGTCACAACTACAATGTACATAGTATTTATATACAACTATGTTAGTTGTATATATTTTGTACGTCATTTCTACACCTGACATACAAAATATATACAATTTGTTTATGTCTTCTTTTTCGAGTTTCAATTTGAAATTCCAACCAAAATCACCTCGAATCTTCACCAAATCTTATCAAAATTGAGATATAAACTCTAGAGAATATTCCCAATTATTTGCAACAACACCTAATCCATGCAAACAGTAATTTTTCAAAATTCGATTTTCGAATTTAAAGCTTCGAAATTTTTTAATAGTCGTCAATGGAGTTTAGTAATATCAATTAAAAAAGAAACTTTCCTTAACGAGCAAACATATTGGATAAAAGCCAAATTAGACAATTTCCGACCACAATCTTTTTTCTGCTCACAAATTGCTTTATTCTCTCTAGACGCTCCTTGTTTAACCATACTGCTTCTTTTTGGAAACTAAAGTTGTTCTACTTACCAATTTCCTAGGTTGGATGGGGAAGAAGAGGGAGAGAAAATAGGACATATTAGATTCTAAGATATTATTTTGTATATAATTAGTAAATTATATAATTGAGCGTAAATAAGTTTTAATGTAAAAATCTTTCTGACATATTCTTAGGTTAAAATAGCACAAGCTAGCCAGTTTTCGTACTGATCATTTAAAAATAGTTAGTGTTTGCAAAGTCTTAGAAAAATAGCCACTATTTTGTTGCAACATGGAAAGTTCCAACATAATATACTGGAGATCGGTGCACCTGTGTATGAACTTCCAGCATATTATGCTGGATCTCCAACACACGGAAAGTTCCAGTATAATATACTGGAATTCCAGTATATTAATATGCTAGAGTTCCAGTATACTTATCCTGGAACTCCAGTATATTAATATGCTAGAGTTCCAGTATACTTATCCTGGAACTCCAGTATAATATTTTTTCGAATTTTGAATAGTATTTTCGTTCAGATTTATCTTTACATGAAAAGTGATTAAATTTTGATTACTTTTGAAACTGTGGTTATTTTTGAATGACACCCACTTGTAAATCTGGCTATTTTTGAATTTCTCCCTATCTTAGGTGTGAAGCCCATCTAAAAGATTGAGGGATTTGCATCTATACCCGCTTTTAGGTCACGTTTTAACTTGTGCCCGCTTTGCAAAAAAACTTGCAAGCGTACGCACTTTTTCACGTAACTTCAGCATACGGGGCTGAAGTAGCAAAGACAATCACGCAAAACTTCAGCATTCTAGTAGACGGGCCTGAAGTAGCAAAGGCAATACGCTAAAGTTTTTTTTGTCCTAGATAAGATGCTGAAGTTATTTAGTTCATTTGTAAAAACTTCAGCACTAAATAAGCTGAAGTTTTTTTGTCCTAGATTCATTAGTTTTGTCATAAAGCTTTTTGCAGAAGATGTTGAAGTTATTTAGTTTATTTGTAAAAATTTTAGCACTATATAAATTATAAGCTGAAGTTTTGGAAAAAGTTTTCTAACATACTAGATAAATAATCACCTTATTCTTTCATAATGTATTACTACTATAAAATAATCAGATTGCCAATAGTATCTAAATCATAAATTTTGAAAACAATAAACGTGAAAAGAACAGAATTACATGGAAATATTCATAAATTATTGTCTACTAACTTACGTAATTATTTATAATTTATTTTTAAATAATCTGATAAATATACTTATGGCAATCATAGAAAAGAAGAAAAGAAGAAGAAGAAAACGAAGGAAGACAATGAGGAGGAGAAACGAGTCTATAGTTGTTTAAAAAGTGAATACAAATTAAAACTTTTAAAAATTTGGGTATAGGTTAAATGGGGGCGATCAAACAGGAAGTGCTGTGCAATTTTTACTAAAAGATTCTGCAAGGCCCAATGATAACAAGAGAAAAGAAAAGGCCCAATAGATCATAGTCGTCCTCGTCTTCTTCCTCTATTCCTCAGATTTCATTTGTAGCTTCACAAACCCGCCTTCCATTCTCACCAATCAAGAAGATTTCTCGCAGTTTTGCTATTTTCTCGATTCCCTAAAGCATTTTTCTTTCAAATTTACTCTATAGCAGTCGTCATCTCGGGATTCTACTGCCTTGGCTATACTTTGGTTCCAATACAGAGTTATAAAGAATTTCAAAATGGGTCTTGAAGGATCAGGACGCTAACTTTCAATTCTTCTAAAGCTAAAAGGGTAATTTTTGTAAGTAAAAGTGTAATCTTTTTTTGCATTTATATCTCATATTGTTTTTTTTTCTTCATATATGCACTAATATGTATATTAAAGAGGCCTCTTATGTATTCAAGCTAATTTTTTGCTGGAAATTTTATTTGGATGCCCGTTTGAATTTGTTGAAGACTGCCTTGGTAAAATTTTCATTAAAAGTGTGATCTTCTGTACATTTTATATCTCATAGTGCTATTCGTATATGCATAAATGTGTATATGAAGAGGCCTTTTATGTGAAATTCATGTGTTCAAGATGAGGTTTTGTTGGCATTTTTGAGACTGCGGATTTTTAAATTCTTTGATGCATTTATATCTCATGTTGCGATTCATATATGTTTAATTGTGTTTATGAAGAGGTTTGTAAATTCATGTATTTAACTGAAATTTTGCTGGAATATCTGGGTATCCTTTTGAATTTTTTTGAAGAATTTTCTGGTTTGAAGTTCTTTCTTGCATTTATATCTCATGTTGCTATTCGTATGTGGTTAAATGTGCATACGAAGAGGCATTACATGTAAAATCATGTATTTTAGCTGAATATTTGATTATTTCTGGATACTCATTTGAATTTTATTAAACAATCTGCAGATTTGAATGGCCAGACCTCCATTTTTTATCACAAGCTTGTGCACCCGCAATTCCCCAATCCGTAACCTTAGTATTGCTGGAACTAATAGCGGGATTGAAGGTGAAGTTGCTGCGCAAAACCCAGATCAATCAAGTTCAGAGAATCATCAAAGTGCGCAACAGAGCTTTGTTGAGATAGCTAAAGATGTGTGCAAAGTCATCCGGACACGGCCAAGATGGGAACAAACATTGTTATCCGATTTTCCCACTGTTAATTTTACTGATCCAAGATTCTATACGGAGGTTGTGAAGGCACAAAAGAATGCTCTGTTGTCACTTCGGTTTTATTATTGGCTTAGTTCTCAAAATGAATTTTCAAGGGATCAGTTCTCGGACGAAGTAATATTTAGTGGGCTTGTACAAGCTAAGGCTGCCAGTGCTGCTAAATGTCTTCGACAAAGTATGAACTTTGTACTTCAACCTAGTTGTTTGGAGGCCTACATTGAGTGTCTTTGTGCAAATGAATTGATTGAGGACGCCCTCGATGTGTTTACTGAATTGAGATGTGTTGGCCACTGCCCGTCATTGAAAATTTGGAATTCAGCCCTTTCAGATTGTATTCGAGCTGGAAGAACTGACATTGTCTGGAAATTGTATGAGGATATGACAGATCTCGGTGTTGTAGCAGATGTTGATACGATTGGGTACTTGATTCAAGCTTTTTGTATGGAGAACAATGTTCCAAAAGGTCATCAACTTCTTCGACAGGTCTTGGAATCTGGGCATGCCCCTAGTAATGTTGCTTTTAATAAACTGATTTATGAATCATGCAAGAGCGGAGATTACTTTAGACTGTCAGCTCTTCTCCACGCAATGATTGCAACTAATTGTTCTCCCGATATATTCACTTATCAACAAGTTATTCAGGGACTATGTGAAACGAGAAAGAGGCGTGAAGCTTTTCGGATATTTAATGATCTAAAGAATAGAGGCTATGCTCCTGATATCGTTATGTATACAACAATGATTAATGGTCTCTGTAAAATGAAATTGCTTGGAGACGCCCGGAAATTATGGTTTGAGATGATTCAAAAGGGATTCAATCCTAATGAGTATACATATAACACACTGATCCATGGGTATTTAACAACTAACCATCTAAGTGAAGCTGAAAGTCTTTATAAGCAAATGCGTGATAAAGGATATGGAGAGACCACAGTGACATATAACACCATGATTTATGGGCTGTGTCTTTATGGAAGAGTAGAAGAAGCTCAGAACTTGTTCGCTGAAATGGCTGAGAAAGGTCTTCTCCATGATGTGATCACATACAATTCTCTAATTCAGGGTTTCTGCAAGAATGAGAAGATAGCTGAAGGGCTTCAATTTTTATATGAACTTCTAAAGCAGGGGTTGCAACCATCACCCGCTTCTTATACAGTGTTAATTGAGAAACTTTGTGAGGTCGGCCATGTTGAGGAAGCGAAATCATTGTGGAATGATATGCACTATAGAGGTGTTAAACCTGCAACATCGTCTCAGGATTCTATTATACTCGGATTGATCAAGCAAGGATATGTAACAGAGGGGGTAGATTGGCTGAGCAGTATGCTGAAGGGTAGGCTCAGACCAAGGAGAAAAACTTTTGAGAAACTGATTTATCATCTTTCTCAAGCAGATAAGTTGGATAACTCTTTATTCATTTTAGATTACATGCTTAGGTTAGGTTATGCTGTTAGAGAAAGTATTTTCCGTTCTCTAGTAAATAAACTTTGCAAAGATAACTCCCACCACATTGAGATGCAAATGGGAAATATTATCTGTGCAATTCAAGGTGGTTGATGTATTACAGATTGTAGCACCTTTATCTTGTCTAAGGACAAATGGGAAGAGATGATTTTTTGCTTTATACACCTTGATCATGCAATTTCCATACTTTATACTATAACTTTATGTTGTAATTTGTTAGTTTTATTGATATGTGACGTTGGCTGAAGCTTCTTCTTCAATTTCTTTTTTTTTTTGGTTGAGAAATTCCCGGGGTTAGCTGGCCTAGCCCCGGTCAGTAAACATGTTCGAAACTGGAGGCAGTGCCGATCTGCCCCTACCCTCCTCCCACTTAAATACCACCAATCTTCCGTTATTGATACGGTTCAAATTCGTGAGGTGCGCCTACCACACATCCCGTGCTGTACTTCTTTTACCACTTACAATAAATTTTATGATGAATGCTCCTAATGAGCTTCCTCTGATAGAACTCAGCTTTTGTTCTACATGTACATGATTCCAAAAGGCATAATAAATTGTATCTTACTGATAATGCTGCCTACTTTTCTATATTTTTCTATTACATAGAAGAGCCATGGGTATCGACCTGGCTGCTTCATGGCAATAAAATCATAGTTGAAGACATTTTAGTCTTTCGATAATTGCTTTGACGTGTCTTTCAACCAGCTACTAATTTTTCCATGTTCGCCAGTCTTATCATCTTCTCATGCTCCTTCTGGATCTTTCCCCTTCACCGTCATCTCTGTTTTCTTCGTCTCTGCAATCATTTGGATTTAGCGAGAATCAAGTGCAGGTAGCAACCAAAAGGAAGAGGAATAGGCAAAATGATAGAGATAAGAAGGAAGTGGAGATGAGAATAGAGCCCTTCAACTTGAGCTCTTCCTCGAACGTCCTCTTCTGTTGCCTGCTGACTGGCTCCATTCTCATTTCCATTGCCCATTACTGCTGATGTGTCTGTTAAATGGGCTGCATTGGCAATCAATGATGGAGATTATGGCTCTTTGTTCTGGTTTCCGGTGAGCTCAACCCGTCTGTATTATTTTTGTTTATCATGTTCAGTTGGGTTGACGAGTGTTTGTTGTAGCTTTCTTGTGAAAGTTCTCTAAAGTGGAATAGCTTTTGTTACTTAATTTGGATCTGGGTCTTTGCTGGTTAAATCCAACCTTTAGTTTGATGGATTTGTCCATAACTGTGTGGAAAAAGAATAATGAAATTGCTGATAGGAGTTTTATAGTGATGTGCAGTAGATTTGACAATCGAATCGGATGATTTTCAAATACCCACATATTCAACTTGATTCTACCATCTATCATTTGGACTGCCGCTATTCTGATGTCATGTAAATAAGAAAGAAAAGCCAGCTATTCTTATAGAATTGAAATAGAGTTATCCCAGTTGGCAGTTAATTGGGATTATTCATTTGTTTGCTTATATTTGTTCTACACTTCTACTATGCTTTTTATTTTTTATTTTCTTAATGTAAATCTACAGATGACGGAGTTAGAAAATCATCTAAGGATTGTGCTTTGTTGAATCTAGAGTTTTTCAGAGTAAACACGCTAAGGCTGCTAGATAATTTCCTTCTTATATTGCCCTCTTCTATGAGTGCAGAAAGTTGTGTACTGTCGAATTGTCCTACTCGTGTATTTCCTGGCATTAAATATTAGTGCTGAATGAGCTCATAGGTACATGAAAGGATATAACTACCAACTATATTTGTCATAGCCATTATTTTTTCTTTATAGACATAATCTGTTTTACCTTATGGCGTTCTAATTGGTTATAATTTGTTCAGCAATATGTTTAAGCGTAGTTCTATGCAAGGAAAATACATTATTCCTTATCAGAATTCTGAAAGTAAAACATTACTGACCACCATTTTTTACTGAATTTTAGGGAAATTAACTAGTAAGAAGCCATCTATACTCTTAAAAGAAGTGATAGATATCTAAAGTGTTATGCATTACTGCCATGAAAGATATTCATATTCTATGTATCAAGGTAAGAGGTAATAAATATTTTAGGTGTTGTGCATTAATTCCATGAAAGATTTGTATAAACCAGTAGAATTTTTCATCTTTGGTGACACACAAAGCAGTGGCATGATGAAATTTTCGTAGGCTGAGGTAGAAAGCTCATATGAGGTAACTGAGGTTGCAAAAACAAGGATACACCGAACAAAAACCGCATTCTAGCAGTGCATTTATAAATTGCGAAAAGGCCTTACCTGTCTCATGCATAGAGCAATTATGAAGTTAAAGTAATTACTGCTTGGCTTCTGCCAATAATTTTATCTTTGAAATTACGTATCTGAGATCTTTGGTCATATTTAGTCTTTATTTTAGTATATTAAATGAAGTATCAGAATTCTTTCTGCATTTGAATAATAATTTGTTTTACTTTATCTTACTTTGGGGGAGGTGTTTCCTTTGATAAACTGAGTTGAATATGATCATCGTTGGTGCAGACGAGGACATATACAGGTACCTCTTGCTTTCTATCTCCCTCTTTCCCCTCCCTAAAAGTATTTAAACAGGGAAAAGATGCAGGACACGAACAAAACTTCCGTTATCTGCTAATTGTTCTTCACTGGATATGAATTGCTCATAAACAAAGTTGAGTAATTTCATGCTCCTTTATTCACTACTCATAGGTAGCTCAAGTTGTTGGAATTGAAATTAATTTGGCAAAATGTAGAAATGAAAAACGAAAAAAGGAAAAAGGAGAAACAAAAGTACACGATGCTGACATTTTTCCAACTTTTAACATATTGAATATTTGCTCCTGTCAAGTGAGCACAGCTCATATGGGTTTTAGGGTGTGTTATGTTCTCCAAAATATTTGTCGAACCTGGTCCTGCTTCTCCCTGTTATAAAGATGTCATCTTCTTAGATGGCTTATGTTTTATACTATGTGAGATTTTGTATGCCATTTGCGAAACTATGTATTTGAAATATTGCAGGATATAAATATTCACAACTATAGAGTATAGAGTAGAGTGACTAGAGATAGAGGAAGCTGCAAAAAAAAAAAAAAAAAAAAAAAAAAAAAAAAAAAAAAAAAAAAAAAAAAAAAAAAAAAAAAAAAAAAAAAAAAAAAAAAAAGATGGAATGACTTCTAGAGGAGAGGATATAGGTGAAATGACGTGCTCAGGAAGATACAAGCGGTGTCTTTTAGTAACTTAATGCGATTTAAACTCGAATTTGTGGTGGGAAAGGAATAATCACATTTTCATAGGTAAAGCATCTCTTGAAGTTACTGCTGCGGCTAATTATAATGGAATATATGGTATTTTCAGTTGCGGGAGTTTTTGTCATTTTCTCAAGTATTACATTAACTTTCCCTTCTTTTTTGATTGTGACTGACTTATCACTAAATCCCGACACGGGTTTTGTTGGAGAAATTGAATCATAAACCATGGGGAGGGCAAGAGCCATAAAAGTTGATGAGTATTCTCTCCAAAACATTACTGCAAGCCTGTTCCACTCTTCGCAACTTGTAATTCGTTTATTTTGGCAGTCACATGAAAATAGTGGATACAATCCTGGAGTGATATATATATATAGAGAGAGAAATATCCATGTGACAAGTTTGAAATTTGGAACTTTTCATACTCTGATTCTCGTGAAGGTTTTCCGCTGATTGATAAGTGGCTTGCAATTGTGTAGGACATCTGGTGTATAGAGATACTTTTTCATCATATCCCTTGCTTATTTTCACAATCTTGGTGGCAAAATCTTTATGACAATTGGTTCTTAGGGGGTTGTGATCAGGTGGGTGTTTCATTATCTAATGGTGCGACGAATTGCAATTCTTTGAGAAAGCTTTCTTTACTTGTTGTCCATTTAGACGAAAACATGCTTCAGACTCTACTTAGTAAATGTCCCTTGATTGTTGATTTCATCATTGAGTATTGTTTTGGGTTGGAAAGGATTGAGCTGCTGAATCTTCAAAACATCAAGTCAGTTTCTCTTAGGAAAAAGAGAAACCAGTGTTTTAAAATTCAAGCACCAACTCTTGAACACTTGTTTTATTCTAGTATTTCAGAATATTCTCTTATGTCGGATATTGTTGAATGTCAGTATCTCAAGTCTTTAAAAGGTATCATATGTCAGGAAATCTGATGGATTTCTCGAGCGCCTTATCTCTAGTTCTCAGTTCCTTGAGAGTTTGAAACTGGTTCACGTTTCTATAGTAGGGTTGGAAAGGTTTAACATTCGCGGGAGTGAATCACTAAAGGACTTGATGATTATTTCTCATGGGGGCATGTGGGAGATTGATGCTCCAAAATTGGAATCACTAGTATATAATATATATCAACTTCCTGAAATGAAAATCGCAAAAGAGTCAAGCCAATTGAAGCACTCAAAACTCCTTCTGGATTGCTACGACTACTATTTAAATGCTGTGTGGTTTTGCAAGTTGAGGAAATTTCTATCTAACTCGATCCCTTGGTCTCAAGTATCCCTTCATTTTTACTATTACGAATGTTTTAGATGTAGATATAGAGTCGGCTGGGGAGTGCCCGATGTTTGTGGATGCTTTGCTATGGAGTTGTCATCCTAGGAGACTCAACCTATTCTCAACTGTCGAAATGATTACATGTTTCTTCAATAGATTAATGTCAACAACAACATACCCAGTAAAATCCCACTAATCGACTTCAATCTATTAATGTATATAAAGAATTTGGGTCATTCTACTTGTCATGGAAGCAAGCATTTGCATAGTCAATTAAAAGAAGTAAAAGCCTACAAATTTGATGGGAAAAACTGCAGCTGGCAGCCTATGGAACTCAGAAGTGGGGAGCTGGCGATAAGGAACGTTGACTGGAGGCAGAATTTTTTTTAAATTAGATTGGTGATGTAGTTTATTCTTTTGCAAATTCAATGCAATTATTTTTATCAGGTAGGGGTAAGGTTTGCATACACACTGCCCTCCGCAGACCCCACTTGTGGGATTAGGCTGGATCTGTTGTTGTCGTTGTAATGCACTTATTCATTTATAAAGTTCACTAATTTATATTTCTAAGTTTAGATTCTAGATACTTTTCTTAAGAACTTCAATTTTAAGTTCTCCCATTAGTTCTTTTCTTAAAAAAGGCCTTTTAGCAAATATGATTAAGTTGAAAATTTCAAGTCACAGAGACACTCTGTTGGTTTTCTGTGCCCTCTGTAGTTCATGTGAAGTTGTTGTACGTCTTTTCTATATTATAGAAGAACAAGTTTTTCGACATGGCTGCTTAAGGTCATTAGTAACTTTTATTTGAGGGCATTTTAGTCTTTTCAAATATCTCCTTATATACGTGTCGCTGAAATATTTCCCTACATGTATTTGATTTCATTATAGCTGTCTGACAACTTCACTTTTTCCAATACCTTTACGTGTATTTGATATCATTACAGCTGTTTGACAACTTAACTTTTTCCTATATTTTTTTTGGTACTTACAATTTAGAGAGTACACCTTTTGTTTCCACCGTCTTCTTCCTATTTGTGTTCTTGCTCTCCAAATCTATTTGTGTTCTTGCTGCATGTATGTTTCTTCTTCAACTAATTCTGCACATATCTTCTTCTTTTTTCTTAATTCTTTTCTTTTTGGGTTTTCCCCGTCCTTTTTAGTTTTGCTATCCAATGGCTGTAGAATCCATTCATCTTCAACCTCAAACTTCATTGTATCTCGCTTTATCTCTCTTTCCCCCCCATTAGAAGCTTCATCCACTTGCAACAATTTCCCATTGTTGATCTTCTCTTTTGTAAAGCCTAAATGCTTCTCTATCTCAGTCCGATACTGACACTGATCTGGTTGATAAGCCTAATTAAGAAGAAGAAAATTTTGGGTAAAACCTCACATTGCTTAGTCTGGAGTTCTTTATCTTCTTTAGTTCTCTTCTAATGTTCCTTTCTTCAATTTCATCTCCCCTCTTCTGCTCTTTCATGGCTCTCTCACGGTAAACTATTACTGATTTTGTTTATCTGTGTCTGAATAACAGGAACGAGATTCAAGTTTTTGCACCATCTGCAGAAAGGCTTCAATTATTAGGTTTTAACTCAGGTAGTCTTCTTCAGTTTGATTCCTGTTTATTTTTCTTTTTATGCGGTAACCCTACCCCTATCATCAATTTCTCATTCTTGGTCTTCGTTCTGCATAGGATTTTGAAAGGAGGATTACTGTTTGCTGTAGCCTGTAAGCATTTGCTGCCTTTATTTCAACAGATATAAAACTTCAACGATGTGATAAATTTTTTCTCTTTTGTACTTAGATTTTGCTCCCGCTCATTGCTGCTATAAGTTTTAACTCTGTCTCCGGGTCTTTTGTTCTTGGGGGTGGTCCTATTAAATTCATAGGTTTAGGAAGAAGGCTTATCAAATAGAGATTTTTTCTTCGACATTTTTTTGATTGTTAATACGATATATAAGGACTGCTAAATTCAAAGGCTATCATTAATTCAAATTCTACCCCTGAAGTAGTTCAAATTCATGTCAGAAATCATTAAGCGGAAAGTATAGTCAATTGGGCTCTAAGTATTCTATAGAGTCCCAACTTCTTGACGAGTCAATCTTTTAAAATCATTTATCGAATCTGACTAGCAACACACAAAGTTATTTATTTGATTTATGTACTGCTGTAGGTTATAGCTGAAAATTTGACAACATAAATTCGCATTTTCATTATTGTGGGAGGGGGTGTAGGACGACAATATTATGGCGTTGCCATCAATGGTTGTATCTACTGATAGTATGAGAAAGTTGATAATTTGTTTCAATGTTTTAATGGATCTTTAGTAATTTACTGATCCTATATCGCATTTAGACACATGTTAGCATTGATTTGAAGTAGGTGGTTGATCAAAGCTTTTCATCTTCAGAAGCTCTGTCGTTTTTAATTTGAAAATTTTTATTATAAAGAAGCTGATTTTTAGTTCGCATATGAAGAATACCTACGTGGCTTCTACTCCTGCACCCACCGCACAGTCTCCTCATTCTTATCGCCTTCCTAAGTTTGCTCCTCTCTCTTTCATCGTAGATATGAGATTTCTTCTCTCTGTGCTCAATCTAAGTTTTACTTACTTTGATTTTAGCTTAGTTGATTTTGTAGGTTTGTTTTTGCTGCTATAGAGTAAGTTGGAGTGTTGTTCAATTTGTGAGAAACATTGTGCAGCGGAAAAAGTCAGAAAGGACCAAGATTGATTGCTCAATGGACATGTCTCTCTAGATAATCGGGAAGAAAGCTTTAGCCTCTTTGCTTTGCTGTTCGAGTCATTTGGTGTGCAGTAAAGGTATGTGCTGCTAATTGCTTTTTACTATTATTTCTATATGTTGGTATAATACTGGTTCAGCCAACGACCACATTTAATTTTTTATGCATCCCTGGCCTTTTCCATCCTCTGAAGGTAAGAGAGAAAATAGGAAATTATCAAGGAATGTCTGACACTTTTAGCGCCTGTAATTTTATCAGCCAGAGGATGTGAGATATAATTATAGAGAGAGACTTGAGGAATTTTGGTTGCAATTATTTGGCTTTTAGCCTTTCATTTCTTATTCACGAATGAAAGAAACTGATCTTCACGAATCAATTTAAAGTGGAAACTGAAAATTTGAATCCAGTATAAAGACTTTCAGATACTTCAAAGATATTCTTGGTCCTCTTTGTTCTCGAAGAAGCTCCTTGAGTTAACTATATACAATCATGTCTGATTTGCTAAATTTTTATGACTTTCTTTTACAATCTTTAGAGGAATCAATACTTTATTGTTTGTTAGATATCATCTAATGTCTTTGTTTGAAAGCAAGAATTTCATCAAACAGGTAAGAATCCCAATGGAGCCTCCTGAAAGTGACATCTCCTCATGCTGCTCTCGCATCAAGTCATTCAACCGGTACTTAATTTTTTTTTTGTTTGTAAATCCATCCCTAAAACTCTTTTATATTGTATAGCGTATAACAATGCTAGAAAATTACTCTTTGGGAATGTTAACAAACTCCTGCAGCTCTCAACTACTTCAGCTTACTATCTAGGTCGAATTTTTCATGGATATACATGACAAAGATGATAAGCTACCAATGGGAAAATCAATAAAGAAGTACCTCGAGATGTACTTGCTAAGAGAAAAAAAAAAGAAGTACGAAGTCATGCACCAAGAAAATTTTGTAACCAAAGCAATGAGAAGCTCGTTAAGTAAAGCAAGTTTATGAGTCATAGCATGTTCTCTAAGAGATTTTATGGGTCACAATTGGCTAACTTCATATAGCATTAGCCATAAAGAGTTAGTAGCAAGATATCGACACCATAAGTAATTTACTGTGAATTATTAGCAATACAATTAGTTTTTGCCAAAATACCGAGTTATAAAAGTAATGTGCGCTGAGAGTAGTGTTAAATAAAATTAAAATGTTTAAAACCCATTGATCTTTAAAGAATGCTTGCCTTTTGGACTTCAAATGTGTCATTCTATAGCAGTCAAAATTTACTTATAAATACTGGAGATTTTTCTACCATGCTAAATTTCAATTTACCGAGTTTTTTAAATCAGGGGACGACTTAAAATTGTGATTTTGATAAATAGGTAAGGCTGGATTAGTGTACTAAGTTAGCCAAAGTTATCTTTTCTGTCTCAGTACTTACTAATGCTTGCTACCATTTTTGAAGTCAAAGAGGAAAGAAAAAATATTAGAAGGAAGATTATAAAAGCTAACTTTCTATGTTTTGGAATTCTGAATCTGAATAATAAAGAAAACTTTAGTTCTTTTGAGAATTAGTGATTTATTTAGTGATTGAGAGAACAAAACTAAGAAGGAAAAAATAAAAAAGATGATTCCTCAAACTTTAATCTTTTTGTTCACTCTCTTTTACCTTTAAGCCATGAAAGGTTGTGGTCATTTAAGCTAATTATGACTGTATATAGAATTATTTGAGTTGATATAATAAGAGTTCTGATTTCGAACTTGTGATTTTCTTTTTCTCATGTTGTGGTTTAAAAAAGTATGATAGAACTTCTTAAAATTAATAGTTATTACTTCTATTACGATTTTTTCCCTTCCTATATTTTAGTTTAAGCAAAGCATGAACAAACTTTTTCCTCTATTATTTCCTTAACTTGTTAAGAGTTTTATAAGCTCAAAGTGAGTACAGTGGTAGCATGTTAGTTTAGAAATTTTAACTTCAAAGTTGGGCTAAATTGCTTTGATGTTGTAGTAGAATGTGCATATAATATACGGCAGATAGGGACCTTCCACATGTTAGAAATTGAGCTACACGGACATTTTGTATTGATAAAGTTATAATGCTTCATTTGATTTTATTTTCTAACACAACCTTCTACTATGTATTATAAAATGCTCCATCTTTTAGTGATTATAATATTTCTGGGCACGATATTTTGTTGACCTTTTTAATGAAGAACCTAAGCAAATAAGTGTATGGATAGTTAGCAGGAACTTGTAAGTACAATGTTCAGTATTTTTAAAGGTTCCAATCACACTTTAAGCAACTGCCAATGCTATTGTTGCCTTGAGCAAAAGTAATTTGCTGAATTGTCTTGCTGAGCTTTTTTTGAACTTTTCATGAAAAATGCTGCACTTTAAAATAGCAACTTTCATATTTGATAGTACTTATGGTGTGACTCGTCCCACTGTACTAGCATGCTATGGTTAAAATTAATCTTCTTGGTTTAGGTGCTTTTTGGTATATTTGCCCTTAGTTGCTACAGGTTCTTCAATTTTAAAATTAAAAAAACTGTCCATTCCAAATTTAAAAAACTATCCATTTGCTGACTCCATCTGAGCCAAAATACCTTCTAAATTCACGCGAAAATAATTTTCTGTCTCATTATTCTTTTATTATTATTATTATTATAATTCAAGACTAATTTTTATTCATATATATGACTTTTTAAATAAACACGTGTTTATAAATGAACCACTTTATGATTTTTATCACGAATTACAAGTAAGAAAAAATTGAAGTGTACCGTCCTCCTTCAAGATCCATCATGTTTATTTTTCTTTTGTTAATGTTAGAGGGCACTTCTCTTCTCAAGAAAAAAATAAAATGTTAGAGGGCACTTATGTATCCTTGCACCCTTTGTTCTATTTATATGTTCGTTCATTCTTCTCCTTTTGAGGTAGTGGGTTACGTTGCACATACCTCAAACTCTTTTGAATGGTTTTCTAAATCAATGATAGTCCCTTTTTTTCCTTTTCTTCTGCTTTCTTTTTTCATTTACCTGGGAAATAAATTAGTCCCCTTATATTGAATATTGACATCTGATCATCGCTTTCTGCTTCTATAGGTGCCATTATATATATTAAGGACTGCGAAGAAGACTAATTACAACATTGTAAATGTATCACTTTTAGTCAATATGTAAATATTATCCATGAATTTAAAGAATATGTCACCTTGCAAGGCAACATTCAAGAAGGGATATTTTTGTTCCTCTATGTATGTAAATAAATAACGTCCAATAGTTAATATGCAATGTCCTATTTATCCAATTTGATAGTTATTTACTTGCATCAATTCTTATTATATGCAATTTTATGTTAAAAGAGATTTATTCAAAAATAAAAGTTCCAGAGTTTATATTATTAGGCCTGTGCTGGCACAGGCCATCACTGTCTAGTTTTTACTAATAGATGCTGTTCTGCAAATGACTTGGTAAATGATGATTGGTACTTCTCTGTGTCAAAGTTCAGATATCTGTATTAGATATTTTGGTTGTTGCAATTATCTGAGGGTTCGACGTACATTTCTGAGGCCCGGCTTATGGGTGTACTTTTAAACTTTGACATCACTGAGCCAAAGTATTCAAAACAATAGACCTCACAGCATGTCCTGTCATATAATTGTAAAAGTTGCATGAGTATGCAAAGGGCTACCTGTTACCTTCTTGTCTCATTTCTGCTTGCTGGTCTAATTTCACTTTTTAGGCCTATGTGAGTGCGAAACCTTTTTAATCATTTTTTTGGAACAAAAAACACTTTTGTACTACTTTAAAAAAAAAATACATAAATGAGTAAAACGCAGTATTATACTGCGAATTACTTTAACGGAAATTTTGCCGTTAAAGTAATTCGCAGTATAGTACTGCGTTTTACTTAAAAAATTTTTTTTTTTGTAATTCGCAGTACTATACTGCGTTTTACTAAGATGCTGAGCTCAGCTATATTTTATTAAAGCTGTTCGCAGTATTATACTGCGTTTTACTTAAAACGCAGTATAATACTGCGAACAGCTTCAATAAAATATAGCCCCTTCTTCTTCCTTGGACCACTGAACCGAAGAAAACCGGTGAGTTAGACACATCAGACTCATCAGACGACGACCAGGTAGGCGCCTTCAATGCAATTGTTGGCTCTATCCCTCATGCCTTAGCGGGGACCAGTGCATCTGGCGCTCTACTTGTNCTCATCACGGCCTTGGTAGAGCGGTGGCGACCGGAGACGCACACTTTTCACTTGCCCACTGGAGGGGCCACTATCACGCTGGAGGATGTTCAGATTTTGTACGGGCTGCGCGCAGATGGACAGGCCGTAGCACTGCCCCAGTACATTAGATCCATGACGCGTGCACAATTTTTGGATATGATGATGCATTTTACTGGTTATAGACCTCAAGGTGACGCTGGGGGCAGTCGCGTTGCTTTGTCAGCCATCAGAGATGATATGGCGTTTTTGCACCCAGACATTACCGGCGAGACGGAGAATCGCCATATTGAGAGGTACACGCGGTTGGCGCTGCTCCTGCTTTTCGGGTGTGTCTTGATCCCGAACACTTCGGGGAGTAAAGTGAGTATGCGCTTTCTCCATCATCTTCAGGAGTTGGATG